CTGGAAAAAAAACAATCTCAACAAATGCCAACTATATTTACTATCTCATTAGCAAACATCGTATGACAGACATTCTATAAAACAATATTTTCTTGCATACAATCTCAAGAAATACAATTATTTACTCAGTTTGGAGAAAGAGGGGACTAAGAAAAGGAAGACGTAGAATTGTGTTCTTGTAATTAATCTTTTAGTTGTCAGATATGTGTAAATGACCTAAATTCTCTTGAAAGCAATGTGATACCCAAGTGATAACATATTTGGAGATGTCGTAGCAACAATTGCATGTAATGTATATAGACCGTCTGTAGTGCTTATTGAAGTTTATTATGACAACACAATATGATAACAACTTTGCATGTCAACGCAAAGGACCACTTGACCTTAAGCTGTAATATAAGAGGTGAAACACTTGATAGTTCATGTCATCGTTTGCCATTTGGATTTGAGCTTCGCAAGCTTAACTGCAAACTGAACGTAGATCCAATCGCTGGCCTTGTCGATCCGTCGGAAGAAAGCGAATCTGATGGCCTGCTTCATGATGAGCGTGCCAGTAAACAGCCAAAAGCCAACCACAAATCCGACCACAATACTGGTGTACTCCAATAATTTGTCGAGCTTCTCATCATCTTCATTCTTTTCTTTAACTCGTGCGTCAGGTGGAGTTTGATAAACCGGGCAATCTGGCAGTGGCGTACCACAAAGGTCTTTATTACCCAGGTATGTCCATGAGACAAAGGTCGACAATTGACTACTTGTCGGTATTTTTCCTGATAAGTTATTGTAGGATAGATTCAAATGACTCAGGAAATATAGAGCAGAAAGGCTTGAAGGTATCTCTCCTGTGAGATTGTTCACTGACAAGTCAAGCGATTCTAGCTGTTTCATGTCACCAATTTTTTCTGGAATCCTCCCCGTCAAATGATTGTTGGATAAGTTTAGGAAGCGCAATCCGAGAAGCTTTATCAGTTCTTTTGGGATTTCACCAGAGAGATGATTATTTGACAAGTCTATGAATGTCACGAGCGAGAGAACGGTTGTGTAATCAGCAATTTCCCCTTTTGTAGTTAGCAAGATGCTCTCGCTATAATAATAGTTGTCGACATGAAGCACTGACCAGGTATCATTTTGTATCTCAATCATGGCACTGAAATTTCCTAGAGATGATGGTAGGCTACCAATTAGATCGTTGGAAGAAAGATCCAAGACCTGAAGAAAAGTGAGATCAGCTATGTTCGCTGGGATAGTGCCATGCAATAGGTTTGACCTCAACCGAAGAACCTTCAATGATGAGAGGTTTCTTCCTATCCATGTTGGTATTTCACCGAACAATTTATTTTCACCAAAATCAAGGATAATTAATTGTATACAGTATTTCAAGAACCGAGGAATTGTTCCAGATAGATTATTATTATTCAAATGCAAAGATTGTAAGGATGTTGGGAACGAGCTATGACAGTTTGGGACTTCTCCCAGTAAGTGATTGTTAGATAGATCGAGACTTTAAGCGACTGCATGTTGCAAAAGAAAGGAGGCAGACTACCATCGATACGGTTACGAGACAAAGATAATAAATAGAGGTACGTCGCTTGCGCGAAACTCGATGGAATAGGTCCGACAAATGAGTTATTTGAGAGATCCAACATCAATTGAGGAGCAGCAGGTAATTGACCTTTCAAATTATTGGAACTCAAGTTGAGTTCTCGTAAACCTTTTGAAAAATCCAAAAACCAAACAGGGAGGCTACTTTTGAGTCCGACTCTGGATAGATAAAGATATTGCAACTGTTGTTGGGTCTGAATCCAATCAGGAAACTTTGCCCCTATATGACAAAAGCTCATGCCAATATAGTTGGCATTAAAAGGGGGATGCCAATCGTTTGATAGGATTATATCCAAGGAATTGAAAGATATTGTAAATGCAGTTAACTTTGTGAGATTAGAAAAGTGTGCTTCTGTGATGTTACCTACGAACGAATTTGATGTGAGAAATAGATCATATAACCGAGATAGTTGCCCCATACTTGAAGGAATAATCCCGCTCAAATTGTTACCCTCCAGAATTAAGGATGATAAAGATGCTCCTTGTGAACAAGTAGATAAATCATCCAATAGATTCGTTAGCTCCCCGCCAATGTTATTATATGACAAATCTAACATGGTCAAATTGCATAGGCCACCCATTGTCGTCCGTATCTGACCTGACAAGTTGTTATATGACACATCCAATTTTTGCAATCGGTGAAGCCTACCAATCGTCTTTGGTATCTGTCCGGTAAGAGCATTATTGTCTAAAGATAAAAACTGCAGATTTTGGAGATCTCCGATGCTTTCTGGTATTTGTTCAGATATTTGATTTCTAGACAGATGTAATCTCGTCATATGGATGAGAGTGCCGAAAGTCTCTGGAATGCATCCGACAACGTTGTTCCACGATAAATCCAATGATTCTAGGTTGGTGAGGTGCCCCAAGCTCGATGGTATCTGTCCGGTAATGAAGTTCTTTGATAAATCTAATATAACCAGGCCAGTGAGATTCCCTATGCTCGGCGGTATCTCTCCGGCGATGCTATTGTAAGACAAATCTAGGTACTCCAACTGGACAAAATTTCCCACGGTTGGTGGTATTTCTCCACTGATTAAATTGTCCCACAACCCTAAATGTCGCAAGTTTGTGAGATTCCCCAGCAGATATGCGATATGTCCGGTGATGTTGGAATTCCCCAGCAAAGTTAGGTACTCCAAGTGTCTAAGGCTCCGTAGAGTTTGTGTAATATCTCCGGATAAATAATTCCAGCTCAAGTCTAGATGCTTCAAGCCCCCGCTGACATTGCTCAGGATTCCAAGAATTTCTCCTCTAAGAAAGTTGTATGATAAATCCAATTCCTTCATGTTGCTGAGAGATGCTAGACCAACTTGCAGCGGCTCCATAATGAGACTCCCACAGTCAGAAAGATAAAGGTACTCGAGGCTGGTGGCGTTAGAAAGCCATCTTAGCATGGTCAATATGATGTTGGAATTCTGAGAAAGATCCAACGTAGCAATGGCTGTTAGATTAAAAGGTGGCAAAGGAGATGGAGCATATGGCAGGCCTGTAGTGCTCAAATGCAGCACTTCGAGTGTGGAGATTGAATTAACTATGTGGAACCAATTGGATGCTCTGGAGAGGTCGACCAAACTCATGTCAAGATGTTTTAGAGATGGAATACGGGAGAGCCAATCGAGATCATCAACGTATAGATCACCGAGAAAACCGTGAAGATCGAGATAGTGTAGGTTGGAGAGGTTCCCAAACTGAGGAGGAATCAGTCCATCGAACATGGCATAAGATAGGTTGAGATATTCCAAGTGGACCAGCGAAGATATCATTTTCGGCACAGGAGCACCCGAGAAGTTATTCATGATCAAATCCAAATACTCCAAATGCTTCAGTTCTTGCAAAGATGGATTTACCTTGCTCCCACCTATAGTTTCGAGAGCTTGATGGTATGTGTAGGGGTAGCGGAGGTGGAGCTTGGTGACATGGCCGGTGATGTTGTTGCAGGCCACACCTCTCCACCCACAGCAGTCTTTGCCGGTCCAAGTAGAGAACCAGTCGTCGGGTTCGTACATATCGGATTTGATGGCGAGGAGAGCTCTCCTCTCGCTCTCCATGCAACTGCTTCTGATTCCCTCCACCTCGACATTATCCTCATCGCCGAAGCCATAGCAGAGACAGCAGGAGACGAGAAGTAGGTCCACGAGCATCATGAGACGCTTCGAGGCAACACGTCTGTCCTGGAAACTGCCGCTACCAACCGTCGCCATCGATCGAGCGCTCAAGAGAAAAGAAGCGCGAAGGTGTGGATCGGAGAGGAGACCTCTGTGGGCATGCACATATAGGCACATCACCACCGGAAATCCCCACGACTTGTGCGCACACCGCGTGTGGAATTGATCCTGTGGCTAAGATGCAAATCAAAGTCAAGGGCACTTAATTGTGATGTGAGGGTTAGATGATTCATATAAGGCGGCCCTAATTTCCATCGTTGACCAGTTCATTTGCGAGTGCAACACTTGAGACTCGTCAAACTTACCTCGATATTTTAATAGAGTAAACAAATATGATATATACACTGATTTTATTATATGTTTCTATTTTAAAGTGACTTTTGTAGTTTGTGAAGTCAAATCTGATACATTTTTAGGTTGATTTTGCAATCGAGTGTAACATAATTTATTTATGAGTATAAGGCTATAAAGTTTAGTTAACTCACCTCAATCTTTACAAATATAATATTAGGTAGCATTTTCATTAATTTTTCTATTTTTAGATGATTTTAGATATTTTTAAATCAAATTTGGATGGGTTCACGCTCAAATCCTATAAAACTAGGTAACAATCTTTAAAATAAAGAGTATACTTTTTCTTTTATTGTCTTAAGGATGCTCCCAATAAACTCTGAAAAAAGAATGCTCTTGGTAAAAAGTTAATCAAGACTTATTTTCTAAGTAAATTATCTAAAAATTCTTTCATATAAAAGAAAAAAAAATAAATGTTGATGTTCCCTGACGAACATGCCAAGAAGATTTTTGGTGTTGAAAAGCATGGATATTGAATGATTGGATGAGGGATGGAAGAGGTGAATTACCACGAAAGATCTCCACACCTTTGATTTCCACCTTCTATGTGGCGTGAGGTTGGAAAGAAGTTGCGTATGAGTGTATAAGGTCTAAAAACTCATCCAAGCTTATATCATATGGTCAAGACACATTAATAATGAGAGTTGATTGATTTGAATGAGACACATTAATAATGAGAGTTGACTGATTTGAATGAGAGTTGACTGATTAATAATGAAGATTTAGATGTGAAGAGTTTAATCATGAAAGAAAAAATCAACTCATGTAATAGTTGAATGATTCATTAATGTTTCAATTTTATTGACCATCACATTTGTTCGATTATCATAAATGGAGTTTCAATTTGTTCATTAGTAATGTAGTGTGGATATATTTTTTTCTTTGATGACAAGAGTACATGTCACTTCTTAAATGTCGACATCGAATTTGATTGTATATTATGTTTAACAATCTTATAGAGCTATCCTCTTTTCAGATAACCTATTTCACAAGTTTAGTATGATGATAAAATAACTCAATTAAATGATCTCCATCAAAACTAAATTAGAGATATACTCGAGAATGCATCTTAAATATATACGTTAGATAGTATATAAGTTAAAGGAGTAATACCCTTAGAGCTTATCAACCAACGAATTATAAAACTAAGTCGAGGATATATTCGACAAGAGCCCTTCAACTATTAAGATAGAGCTTATTAACTAATGAGTCTCGATGAATTTGAGTCTTTTATAGTTAAAATATGTAACTACCTCCGTTTAGTAGATAGTTATTTTGTAATGAATATTACAGGAAATAAATTGATTAAATTAATTAGATAAAATAAAATAAATCTCATTCAACTCAAACCCGACTTAAAGACTCTTAAACACCTTTCTACATATATCTTAAACGATGATCTTATAGATAAAACCTAATAATACTCACCCACTTTAAGATCCTGAGATATATAAGGCATGTATTGAACAATAAATTCATAACCGTAAAGGACTTTTTTTTGAAATGTTGTTCTTCAAGTAATTTGACAAGTAATTCATAGATATTTGCTATTCAATTATGTCTTAGGTTACTGGCATTCAATTTTTGATGTCCTCAATTCGAGATGATTTGGTCGGACACTAATTGACCATATTTAGACGTCAACATGTCACCAGCAAACAGAGTGTGACAGACCATTCTTTGAATATAGCATTCTTCTTTTATAAATGATCTAAAGAAATAGTGAGACTAGTAACACTCTGTTCTTGCAATTAACATTTTATTACATTGTTATGAAAATTCAATGGTGACTCAAACAAAGGCTCCATTTACACCAAATTTGTAGCGGACGAAGAAAAAGAAACATCCATCGTGATAAAAGATTGTTATATGTAGTCAGATGTAAGGTTACAAAGTGCAAGAACCCAAATAAACTGATGGAAGAAACTATTTTGAAGACCTTAGAAAGCGCCAACCTTGGATGATGAGAAACATAATTGTTTTGTATGGACTCACTTGAATGGATCAATTTTATAAAGAATCACATAAGGATGTCTCGAGACTTATAAAATCTTCATAGTGATATAGAACGACTAGCCAAGAAAATCAATATCATTATCTTTCAACACATGAGGAGTCTATAATGACTTAGAGACGGATAACTAATTATAAAGCATTTTAATAGTCATGTAATCCCTCGAATAAATTTACATTCCTTTTTCAAGTTCAACAAACAAGCAGCAGTGTCTTTAAGACAACGCAACACCAAATGATCATACGTGACTCAAAACAATAGAACACACAAATACATGGAATATATATACATAGACAGTCTTAGCACTTAGCCACAGTTCAATTGATTCTTTGTCATTATTTTGGACTTCAGCTTTCAACCGCACATAAATAGAAACCCCACAAGCCAACTATGAATCCCATGAGGATACTAGCAACATCTAATATTATTGTTTCAAGCTTATCACCATCATCATCTTCTTCTTGTTTGACTCCAGCATCATCTGCTTTTATTATAGAAACACCAAAGCAGCAGCAAATTTGATAACTTATGCATAGCATTCCAATAACACATAAAACAAAGCTCTGCATGTCCTGCAAAATGTGACTTCCAGGAAAAAGAAACAAAAAAAAAAACCTAAGACTTAAGTATGCCGAAACAATCACACATAACATAAAATGTTGATTTGCTAAAAAAAAGTCATTCAAGAAACATAGAATATCTTTCTTAAGATAATTATATAATCAAATATCTCGAGTTTTAGCACCGGAATGAAAGGAATAAGCAATCTAGACTGTGATAGACATGAATTTGAAAATATATTTATTAATAAAAATTTACTTCTAGAAAAAAATTGATGGATAAATTTGTTTGGTTGAACATGGATTTTATTTTTTTCAAAAAATATACTTTTGTAAAAAATGGATATATAAATGGTTAATAATGATTTTTTTAAAGAGTGAGTCTCATAGTAATATGGATTATGATAATGATCAAAATATACAATCTCATCTCAAAAAGAAAGATTTGGTACTTATAAAACATCGATTTTGGCAAATACCAAGAGCATGTCCACAACAATGGTTACAATTTTATTGTCTAATTGTATCATTAGAGCATAATAACATGGTTGATTTTCCATTATTATTGTAAGAAGAACAATAACGGGATAAAATAATCTCTATGAAACAATGAACTTTGTATATAATCTCAAGAAATATAATTGATTTTGGCAAAAAAAGGGACCAACAGAGTATGACAGAGACTCTTGCAATTAATCTTTTAGTTGTCAGATATGTATCAATCGATTAGCGAAGGCCAGACGATAGCAAAATGATGATAGATGGAGATGTTATGATACTATAACTAATACATATAACGATTATAGACCATCTATGATGCTTATTTCAGCTTAATCATGACAGCATAATATGATAACATCATCACATGCTTACGCAAGATTTCGATGCGACTAACTACAAAGGAAAACATGACACACTTTAGCACTTACCGGCAGTTCATGTCGTT